GCAAATCGAAAACAGCAAATCGAACATAGCAAATCGAACATAGCAAATCGATTCATAGCAAATCAAACAGCAAATCGAACATAGGGCAAATCAAAAACAGCAAACCGAACATAGCAAATCGATTTCACAAACTCGGTAGATGAAGGTACCTGTCGTTGTCGAGATGAAGGAGATGCCGTCGATGGGGGATGTCGCCGTCGATGGGGAGGAGAAGCGTGGCCGTCGCTGTCGATGGGGAGGAAGAACACAGGCAAGCATCGATTAGAAAAATCGAGTAGAAAACAGCAAAATCGATTAAAAATTGAGTATAAAACAGCAAAATCGAACAATTGGTGCTGTCGATCGATTACTTGAGGCGACGATGTGCAAATGGAGGCGACGATCGATGAAGATGGAGGCGATGATGTGAAGATGAAGGGGAACGATTCTGTCCAGGGGGGAAGACGATGTGAAGATGAAGGAGACAATGGAACATGGAGGCGACGATGTGAAGATGGAGGCGACGATGTGAAGATGGAGGGTAGATAGGTCAAATTTTCCTTGTTCTAGTTAGTTCCATGGGGGAAGGGAGGACAACCGTGTCCTACCCATGTTCTACCTAGTTCTAGTTAGTCCCACATAAAATCACACCAAACATGGAACAAATGTGTTCTGTCCAGTTCTGTCCCATCCTGTTCTACCTACCAAACGCACCATAAAGTCTATATGCGATACATAGACTCTTGTAACCATGACATCTTTTCTATTCGCTTACTTGAACATAATTTCTTTCTTAAAAAAAGGAACTGCTTAATTGCACAAAAAAAGTTTTATTTATGAGGTATAACTATAAATTCTTATGAAATCGACYATAGATCAATTCCCTTTTTTGGGAGGGTCTTGAATACATCCCTAATTTTGAGCTTCATGTTACACCTACCAAGAAACATGTTAGGTACAGGGCATCCCGATTGGATTAAATGGGATGACAGTTTCACATTTCGAATTTGTAAAATCAGAATTTCGATCAAATCACACACYGCAGTATACTAGGTCTTCTAATTCGTTGAGAAGTTTATCTAAAAGATTCACAATATAACTAGGAAGACGTTTCAAATACCACACATGCATTACCGGGYATGMGAGTTTGATKTAGCCCATTTGATATCTTCGTATCCGAGAATCAACAAACTCGACTCCGCATTGTTCGCAAAATTTCGGGTCTTCCTTTTGATCTCCGATTACTCGATAATTTCCACAAGCACAAATTCCACTTTTGATAGGCCCAAAAATTCTTTCACAAAATAATCCATCTTTTTCTGGTTTATTGGTTTTGTAATGAAAGGTATAAGGTTTTGTCACCTCTCCAACTATCTCGCCATTAGGCAGGATTTTTTTGGACCAAGTACTTATTTGTTAAGGAGAAACTAATCCAATTCGGAGTTGTTGATGTGTATATCGATCGAATATAGAAGAAGAATTCTGCTTCAGTTCGATTAAGCTTCCATACTAAAAAAGGAATTAGATCTATTTAAAACACCAAACCGCAAGGACGAAAATTTATAATGCAAGAAATAACAATATATATATTCTTTATTAATGATATTACTAATCGACAACCAATCACAAAATAATGAAAACAACAACAAAAGTAATGACCAAAATACTTGAAGTTTATAAATCGTGTACCTTATTCGATGTTGAACGTAGAACTGAACAA